GGACTGGTGTCCTGGCCAGGGTGCGTGTGCCCTGTGATGGACTGGTGTCCTGGCCAGGGTGCGTGTGCCCTGTAATGGACTGGTGTCCTGGCCAGGGTGTTCCCTGCCTTGTGCCTGTTGCCTGCCGGGATAGACTCGGGCTCTCCTGCAACCCTGAATTAGGAGATGTTGGATGCAAAGCTTAGCGAAGGGCTGCATTTAAAAATCTCCTCCTCCCTCTGTTCCCTCTGCCCCTGTCCCTCCTTCAGTCACCCTCTCCTCCCTCGCGGTCCTGATCCGTGTTCGCTGTGGTCTGCGCGGATACCGACCGCCATGTCGGAGTCGGGACACAGCCAGCCCGGGATGTACGGGCCGGGGCGCAGGAGGAGGCGCCGACGGGACCGGGAGCCCGGGATGCCGGGTCAGAACCTGTCCGGGCCGGGGCGTGAGAGAGAGTATATGCCCCGAGAGCGAAGGGTGAGTGACCTGGCCGCAGGGGGGCTGCAACGCTGTTTTGATATCTCGGGGTCAGAGGGGATCGGCGCGGATGAGTGCGTTTCAAACCGCGGTGAAACTGAAACGTTCACAGTGACGTGTAAAACCTCCAGTTCACATCACAAAACGGACACAATTTCCAGGTCTGTGCAGCGCCACGTTCTGCGATTCAGAGCGAGACGACAAAACTTCAGGTGAGGTGCAGCAGCGCAGTTACCCTGTAAAGAAGCAGGCCTGTGAATACATCTCCTCATCCGATAAGAATATCGCCCTGAGATGGTTTGAGATGGTTTTGCCAGATGCAGTCTACTTGTTAACTCTGCGTGCAGATCATTCCTGCAGTGAAATGTCTGTGCGCAGCCTGGACTTATTCGCTCGTCCGTCACGGTTCATCAGTCATCACGGTGACTAGTGAGCAGGAGGGGCCGCTTGACGTCACAGTTCGCGCAAACTCTCAATAACATGGGGACTATCCGGTACTTTCCCACAGTTCACGATGCTGTGCTTAACGCGGAATTCGTGAAATTGTGCGGTACCGTCAATTTATTTTGTTCTGGAGGTTTAATAACCAGTCTGAGAACTTGGGACTTCAACGTTTTGAATCCCGGCTCTGCTGAACCGGGCGCTCTTATTGGGGGGGCGGGGGGGTGTTGGCAGTGTGGGACCTACCCCTTCTCCTGTTGCTCTTGCAGGACGAGAGCGAGGAGCCCCCAGGCCTGGTGCTGCAGAAGACCCCCATTATCCTGGCCAAGCCCCCCGGGGAGAGGGTGAGTTCTGTGTGCAGTCCGTTCGGCTGGCCCATTCCCAGTCGGCAGAATCGGATCATCGGGAGCTCACGCCCTTGTCCTCCTGCTCCAGCTCCAGTCCAAGCCCAGCCAGAGCTCCGCCGCGGCCAGCGGCCCCCCCCTGGAGAAGCCCATCGTCCTGATCAAGGCCCGGGAGGAGGGGAAGGCGGGGCCGCCCCCTGACGGCGCCAGCGCCGTCGCCCCCCCGGCCGCGGGCTCCGGGCCCAAGGCGGAGAAGGAGGGCCAGCGCCCCACGCAGCCGGTCTACCAGATCCAGAACCGGGGCATGGGCTCGGCCGCGCCCAGCAGCTCTGTGGACCGTGAGTGCCCCCCCCTCGCCACCTCGCTCGGCTCGCCCCCCCCTCCTCGCCCTGTGCAGAAGCCCCCCGTCCTCTCCATCCTCTCTCCCGCGGCCATGCTGCGCTGGCTCCTCCCCTCTCAATCCCCATTGGCTGGTGTCTTCTCCCTGCAGCCGTGATTGGCCAGGCGAAGCTCCTCCCCCCGGAGAAGATGAAGCACAGCCTGAAGCTGGTGGACGACCAGATGAACTGGTGTGACAGCGCCATGGAGGTCCGTGAGGGCGCCGATCGCGGTCTTTTCTTCACCAGCATGGTGGACAGTGCTTCGTCGTTAATCCAAGCCACTCCCAGTATTTAGCCGTTATTAATCATTAATGAATCGTCATTAATGGCAGTATGGTGGCGCAGTGGTAAACCTTGCTTCCTCTCTGCACTGAGCCCCTGGGTTCAAATCCTGGGTTGCTGTCTGTGTGGAGTTTGTATGTTCTCCCCATGTTTGTGTGGGTTTCTTACAGGTGGTCTGGTTTGCTCCCACAGTGTAGAGATATACTGGTGGTTCTGGGACACTTGGCCCTGGTATGAGAGTGTGTTTGTGTCTGTGTGTGCCCTCTGATGGAGTGGCGCCCTGTCCACTGTGTACCCGCTGTTGTGCCCACATTGCAGTGCTTGCTGGGATAGGCTCCGGCTGGATAAAGCTGTTGCTTGGCTGGTTGAAAACGATGAGTGCCGTGACCACTGAGGGGCGGGACCCTGTGTCTGTCCCGCTCGGGGAGCTGGCTCTGCCCGCGCGCCGGCGCCGCTGCGGGTGCCGTGGCGTGTTCTGCCCCGGGCGCCGGCGGGCGGTCCCGACTGACCGCCGCTGTCTGGGTTGCAGTACCTGCGGGACCAGACGGACATGCTGGTGGTGGGCGTCATCGGGCTGCAGGGCACGGGCAAGTCCACCGTGATGTCGCTGCTGTCCGCCAGCGCGCCGGAGGAGGACCCCAGGTGAGCCGCCGCCCGCGATCCGAGGGGCTGGGCCCGAGCCCGCCCCTTCCCTCTGCGGCTGTTTCCGCTGTCACTCGTGGAAACCGGGAACAGAAGCCTTTCGGACTCGGATCCGGAGGGTCTCCTGTCCTGGGAGCAGAGGGGAGCCTCTTTCATGCCTTTGAAACCAGCTCTTGGGGATCCGGCACTGAAACGGGGATGTGGATTTCCCAGGATAACTTTCAGAAGCCAGTTGCAGCCCACCGAGCCCACCTGGGCTGAGCGGGACTTGCGCCCTGCTGACCCTGATCCCCGGGGGTGGCTGTGGTGCGGGAGCAGGTCCTGCGATGAGGTTTCCCGCTGTCCCAGCTGGACGCTCAGCTCTGTCTGTCCCGCAGGGCCTACGTGTTCCGGGCGCAGAGCCAGGAGATCAAGGAGCGAGCGGGAAACCAGACCTGCGGCATCGACTTCTTCATCACCCAGGAGAGAGTCATCTTCCTCGACACGCAGGTCAGACCGCCAGCTGTCCTCCTGGTGTAACAGGAC